AGTTAAAAATTATCAAACAATAGTATTGTGTTTATTGTATATATTCAAAAATAATTACTAATAAGTAAATACAATTGATGTATAAATTATAAATCAAATGTGTGTACTTTATAACTGAGAAATCTATTATAAATATTATTTGCTCATAAACATAGGTTAGGTTAGGATGGTCAATTTTTTTGGAAGGCTATAGCTCTCCCAGGGCTAAACATATACTGACTCATGGAGGGCTTTGCCTGCATTTTAGGGGCTAAGCCCTCTCCAACTATGTCTATGCTCATAAATCATGATATAGGGTAGCCAAATTATAAATTTAAAGAAATCCAAAACACTAAAATTATAAATGATTATTTATAATATAGTTATAATAATATAAATGTTAATGGCGGCAAGTTGTACACTGTAGGTACATTGAAATCGTCAGTAGGTTCAAGTTGTTTAATAAATGAGAAATAATTTTGTAACTACTCATCAAAATGACAGTTTTTTAGACAACAAAGTCACTCGTTTTTTTCGACTACCAAATATCAATTATATAATTTGACCTATATGGGAAGTTATAGTTATGGTAAGTCATCAGATATTACTCGTAATACTATGAGGTCTGTGGCCTGCCATTTAATCTTGGAAATTTTTATTAAACATATTATAATTTTAAAAGAAACATTTATAACATGTACCTGCATAATTCTTTTATATTATTAACATTATAAAATAATTGATATCGATAAATAGTGGAAGATTAAGAAATAATGTCGTCTTTAAAAAAATAATACTTGCCCGTAAATAATAATAAATTATTATTTCATAATATCGCATCATTTCCTATATATTAAAAGAAAACGATAATTATATTTTTATGTTAGGTAATCTCAATCGCATTATCTATTTATCTGTATAGTAATAAGTAATAACCATTATAACGTATTATTAAATTATCAAAACAGAGTAATTAGTAGGTAACAACTAACAGTTTAAGACCACTTAAGAAATAGATATTACTAAAATATACGGAAAATTCAATCTCTAATCCTGATAATTTGAAAATATTTACTCGAGTAGCTTACTCAATATTGCGTTACAACAGTTTTATCTAATCAATTGTACTTTGTAGGTAGGTACTTAAATTTATTTTTTCTTATGTATTTGGCCACTTTATTAGACTGTATGTTTACCAAGTCAAATATAAATTATGTGTTTAAACGTGACTATGCATATTGTTTTGATAGCTAGATAAATAAATAATAATAACTACTTACTAAAAAATACATTTATACATTTTATTTGATAATACTATGGATTATGCAACAATGAATACACCTACCTTATCCGTATAGCTTTTGGTTACCATCTAAAATTAATACTTAATACTTTGTAACGGCGCCGAGTCTTATAAATTTAAGTGAAGCAAAATCAAAATATTTACACACCCATCCAGTATCCACCATTGAGGATTTCAACAAAATATTATTTTCAATATTTTCCATTTAAAATTTTAGTTATTTATTTAATTATTTATTATAGGTATTATCTAATGTAAAAACAAAAATACTTATATAAATAAAACCACTCACCCTCTTTATTATATGAAGCGATCACTTCAATTTATGTATAGGTTATATAGATACTGATATTTTGATAGCTATTAATTGCCTATTAATTATTATAATTAAAATCAAAACATTTATTATTAATACCTTCTAAATTGCAGTTTAATTCAACTTTCGTCTTTTGTTTTAGATGAAGTAGTGTATGATGATTTGTGCTCATAATAAAATATTATACTTCAAATTTGTTTTCATTGTTTTGTTTTAAGACTGAGTATTTTAACGATATACAAAACGATTAATTTCTTATATTGTTTTCCCAATATTATAAAGATTATTTGAATCAGGTGTCTTGTCATGTTTTTATAAATGTAAAATGATAGAAATCAAAAATTGAAATAAGTATTACCATAGCCCACAAAAGTTTATCCATATCTGTATTCTGTACCAACTAGTATTACGTTATAAATTTATGATTTTAAGTTTACGACGTTTACGTGGTTTATTTTTGTGTCGATGACCAAGTTGACCTACGGATAATGATTTAGAATTAACTGATGTTTACCAAGATGAAAAGTAAAAAATAAAAAAATAAATTAATAAATAAATACCTTTAATAGATTGTGTCATTGTGGATGGGTTGGTTTCTACTTAATTATAAAGTCTAAAAAATCTCAATTTCATAGTACCTATTTATGCATTTTTAAGCTTCCATTAATTAATATTTAGTAATTTAATATGATCATTTAGATGTTTCTTACAGGAGTTACAGTAGTACAATCATACTTATTTTTAGTACGAGTGTATTAAATCTCTATTCACCTGTTGACCAACCGCCTAAATGCCTAATAATTAATATAGGTACCTATTTTCAATATTATAATAAAATTCCAAGGTTATATTTTAATCCTAATTCATTTTAGAATGAGTTTTAAAAATTATAATCTATTGAATACAATGTGTAAAAGTAAAACATACGATGATAGTGATTAGTGAATTAGTGACAATGAAATATCATTATTCTAAAACGAAAATTTGAAATTAATATTTTTACTAATAAATAAAACAAATAAAATATATTAAGTACTTAGTTACTTTCTATTTGTTTGGTATACATATGCTTTGTACTTTATTAATTATTACTATTCATAAAAGCCAAAGATTAAGTTTGCAAAAGGCTTTATTAGACGTTAGTAACTTAATATTCTCGAGTGATCAAGTGTATAGGTATTGGTTACGTAGTTTTGTTCAAGGTGATATATCTCTAGGGAGTTCACTTAATTAATTTCGACTCTATCGGCCTTATCATGTGAAAACCAAGAATAATGCTATTGTTAAATATAATCATTTGCAATTTTTATTTTAGTAAAAATTAATGTTAATTAAATGACTAAAAAAATTCAACAATGAAAAATTAAAGATTGTACTTTGGTATCTGTGCTTGCAATTGATAACGTTTAAGAGGCTAATCATTAAGCTCCGCAAAAGATGGGTATCAAAACGATCATGCAAGAAGAAATCTAAGACAGTCACTACTTACAGTGCTTGATTTAAAACAAAGCAACATCCACGATGCTGAAGCCAATAAAAAGTAGTTATTTGTCCAAGCATAATCGTTAAAATAAAATAACAAATTGAAGACCACTTAATAAAAAATCAGTCTATCAAAGTATTGATAGTAATATTTACATTGAGGCCAAATTTACTAGATTTGTAGTCCAACATTTTACTTTGAGTCCACTTTATTTTTATTTTAATAAGTAACAATGTTTTTTCATTTTTATCGCTTAATACTTGGCCACTGTTTACTAACAACCTAATAAATAGGCAATAGAAAAAATAGAAGTCGATAGAAAAGAAAACAATTCAAGACCCCTCCCAAAAAGTCAGAATATTATAGCAAGGGTATTTACACTGTAGCCAAGTCTATTTTATGCATCATTAAAAAATTCCAACATTTAAAAATGAAATATCTTACTTGGGTAAATACACCAATTGTAATATACTCACAGGATGCCAATTCTGAAGTTGTTCAACAAAAATGATTATTTTATTACAATGTCATTACCTAATTTTTTTTATTTTTATTTTGTTGATTTTCAGAATCACTAGTTTTTAATAATTTTGTAGTATGCATTTAACAATTTCTTTGCTGAAAATATACCACCTACTATATCTTTCCTGATATTGTCTTGTTTCTTTTACCTTTCATGGATATGACAAAAAACCCAAAATTTAATTTTAATTTTATATCAAATCACAAGTAATGTAAAAATGTTTTTAATTTTCTAGTAGTCATCAGTATTTTTCAGTCATAACTAATAACTTTAAAATATCAAACATGACTCACCATGTTATTGTTTAAATCCATTTTATAAAAATTTAATTTTTGTTGTACCAGTTATTATAGTTATGTCCTAACTATTTTTCATATAAACGTCACAATATATACTATATTATATACTTATTAGTTACTACAACAATATTATTCATCTAATTTAGATAAATATGCTTTTGAACTTTATATTGTCTGTTATTTTTCTAGCACTTCTTTTATTTTTCAAGAATAGGTTTCCTCAGTTATGATGTTAAATATTTCTGCTGAATTTATTATTACTGCCATTTATAAATTTGATCACACTTCTCAATTGTTGTTCTCTGTTGATTATTTTTATTCATTTGATCTCTAAATCAAATAAATTGTACACTGTCTATAAACTATAAAATATTAACAAATAAATTAATTTCACATTATATACTTACTACTATGCAAAAATTACTTTAAAGACTAAAAAAAGACTATAAATAATTATTGTTTTAAAAAAAATTGAAGTTCTTTGCAAATAAATGGTTATAAAGTAAATCAAACCACATTTTAAGAAAACATACTTTATAGTCATAGTATACTTTAATAGTCAATAAAAATAGGTTACATTAAAAATTACGTTAAATGACCAAGAAACATATATCTAAACAGATTTAGGTTATATACATACAGGGGAAAATTTCACAATTAATAAAATTAAATATACAAAATGTCCATTGTCCATACACAATTCTCTGCCTTAGAAATAAAAACTATATCCAATTTGATACCAAAAATCTGCTTAAAAATTGATGGTCAGAGTATTCTTACTAATAGAATGTGTCTCAAATACACAAAACAAAAAAACTATAAAATTAATAAATTCATAGTTAATTGTTTCACTTATAACATATAATAAATATGACCATTTATATTTTTAATAAAAAATTTATATATTTTAACTGTTTATAAATACTGTTGTCTATAAACAAAAGTATTTTCCAAGCGGCATACCCATGGCTATTCAAGTATATATTGTATAAATCATAAAATATAAAATCTATAATTATACATATTAAAACATTTTATTTCTTAAGACTTGAAACAATAAATAAAATTCAATTTAGAAAATTGTTTCATTATATTTACACAAGTAAATTATATTGATTTTATTATTTACTTACAATTTTATTTTAAATAATTAAATAAAAAACAGAATACTACTCTTCGTCATTATCAATTTGAGCATTTGCTCTGGCGCCTTCATTTACAGCTGTTGCTAAATCTATATTTTGTTCTCCTTTTAATCGATCACGAATTAGTTCAGCAATTGCTCTTTGTGTCCGTCTTTCAAGTTTTGCCATTCTCTTTTCTATGTCTCTTTTCAAATCCCAATCTGGTTTTCTGGGTGCTAATGTGTTCAAATCCTAAAATAATATTATAATGTATATAAAAAAAATCTAATAAAATGATAAATATGAATATATTAAAAAACAGTTCTGAGCAAAGGAGATTGGTAGACAACATATATTTTTAAGTTAGTTTATTTTATGTTTAATTTATTATTTATAGTTTTGATAGGTTGAACTGAAAACATGTGCAATCAAACATGGTAGGTAAAATAAGCAGTTGCTTACAACTCAAGAAAAATTTGCCTGAATATATAAATGAAAAGTTGTAATCACATTTGAAAAATTAAATATATTCATTTTTACAGTGACTAAAATATTATGTTGTTTAAAACGTATTGAATCCATGTTACTGTTTCAATTATTAATTATTCTGTACTGAAATTTTTTTTAAATAAATTATAGAGTATTATATTTTATTATTTTTAAAATAAAAGTATCACAGAGAGATATAACGATTGTGACTTATATATTTCAACAAATTTTAATCAAATTTTTATTGTTCTTTTGATTATGGGCCTTTATAATAATAGTAATAACTAATAATCATTCAGGCACACATAATAACAATAAATGAAACATACCCAAAATGTAGTACACATTATTCATTGACAGATTATTTTATTAGTTAAAATTTGATTAATTTTAAACATCAGAGTTATTAGAAAAAAATATAACAAACACTAAAGTAATACCTATGAATATTTTGGATAAACATGTATTTAAAAATAATAAAAAGTAAGTTTAATCTAACCAATAATTAATTATAATAAAAATATAAATATGAGACAATATTGAATTTGTTTCAATCTGCCAGAAGTGTGCAGGGGAATTAGAATATAAGTGGGGTTTATTATTGCATATGCGACTTGTATACTTGTTTATAATTTTTGTTTTGTGTTATTTTTAATTAATCACTTTAACTCAGATATTATGTTAAATTATTAATTGGGATAATTTGTAATTGTAGTTTGTTAATTTTTGGTGTAATATTGTCAAAATATTAGTAAACATATTTTATATGATACCAATACTTTATATAATTATACCTCGTAGGATTAGTTTTATAAAGTATAATGGTCAAACAAAATAACATATTTAATTATATTAGTTTACCAATTCCTGAACAGTAAAAACAGTTTCTCCGGCTTTTAATTGATCCTCAACTTCAGCAACAATATCACCTGGTTGAGGGGTAGGTATAAGTTCAGCCTTAAGTCCTTCGTCTTCTGGAATGTAACTTTTAAATCTTGGCCTAAAACAAATCTCTTTTATATACATATATTACATTATATTTAATCGTCATACATACTTTGGTAATGATTTCTCCACACTGTCATCATTGTTTTTAGATTCATTTTTATTTTCTAAAGATTTTTTCAAATTAGCCAATCGTTCTTTTCGTTTTTTAGCTTCCTCTTCTAATGATCCAACTTTGATAGATTGATTTTCTGAGTTTTCCATAACTTACATAAGTTTAAGGTAAAATGTTTTATTTATTTAATTGAGCAATAATGTAAATACTATATTGCTTAAAAAAGGAACTCACGTCTCACAGGTGTTCAGAAAATATGGACTATAGTCATAGATTTATGTAATTAATATTTTACGTTCAACAATCTTCTTCTTTCTTCTTCTTCTTATAATATAAAACCAAAACGAGCTTCCTAAAAAATCCGCCAGAATGCTCGTATTTTAGTGTACTGGCCAATCGCAAAATTAAAATTTTTTCTTATCGTCGTTATCTGATATCTCCCGCGCGCGCCGTTATCGTTATCGTTATCTCCCGCCGCCGTCGTTATTATTTGTTTTTCTTATACCGTTTTTTCCGCTTTTCCAGCCTTCGGAGACCTCTTTCCGTCGCGTTCTCTGCGCCGTAGCCGAGAGCGGGTCTTTTTCGTCCCGTCCGCTCGCGTTTTTCGTTCGGATTCGGTCCTCCGTCGCGGAGACGACCGCCCGCCAACGGACGTCACCCGTTTTTCTCCGGTTTTTCTCTCCGCCCGAATCGGTTTCGCCTTTTTCGCGTCCCCGAATTTCGTTCGCGGCCGTCGCCGTCGCGTCCGGAAAACGCGTACTCGCGACGCGTTCTCCGGTCGGTTATCGTATCGTCGCGCGTGTACTACTGTTTTTTTTTTTTACGATACGATAAATCATTTATCCCTGTCGAATACG